ACCCAGGGCTCCTCTCCTCCTGACAAAGACCCCCGTTAGAGTAACAGAGCGCCACCTGAAGGGGTCCGTTTCCCGGAAAAGGAGCGCCTGCCTGTAACCAGCCGGCCGGCCACGTATCTGCCTTCAGTGGAGTAATTTGGGATGAGAGCAGCTCAGAAACGGGGTACCTAGTGTTTGTGATGGCCGCAGGGCACCCAGGAAGCCCTGCTCATTCCTGGCTGAGTCCGCCAAGGGCGGACAGGCCGGCCAAGTGCGTTTCCACCCTGTTCTCGCGGGACAGCCGGCCGCCTGGTGAAGCCGGCTGCAAAGTGCTTCCTTCACTGAGCTGCTTCTAATGGAAGAAGACAATGGGGGGTGGAGGGCGGAGTGGGGGGCAGGCGGCTAATGGGTTTGCACTCTGGCGGCTGCCTTCCATCTCTTGCCATTGCTCTGAGCTCACACAAACCCCAAGCTGCAGAGGGGCTGATGGAGGAGGGCACCCATGCACCTGCCCAGCCACTCCCTCCCACCACCATCCTGATTCACGAGGTGGAGGGGCGAGGGGAGGGGTTGCTCCAGGGACGGGAAGCTGCCATAGCTGGAGGCCTGAGGGTCTCCTGGCACATGAGACAGGCAGTGTGGTAAGGGAGGAATGATGACCTGCGTCCTAGCTTCAGCCTGTTAGACCCGGGAAGGCACCTAACTGGTACCTGGGCAGGTGCATAGCCTTGGGTGTCTCTGCCCGCCTTCCCCAGTGCTGCTGCCCCATTGACCTCACTGAGGCAGTTTTGAGGACCTTATTTCCGTGCTCAGAGCCTCTAGTGGCTCCTCAGTGCCCCCTAACTTAAATCCACTTCCCTTAGCCAGGCAGTCAAGCCCCGGCCCGGTCACAGCCTGCGTCCCACTCTCTCTCCCATCCATCCACCGGACAGACACCTGGGCTTCACTCCCAGCTGCTGTTCTCGAGGCCTTTTGCCCATCACCGGCCTATCCAGATCCTACCTATTTGTGAAGCCATCGCGTCCCAGCCAAATGCCTCTTCCTTCAGGAAGTCTTCCCTGATCTCCGCTGTGTGTAGTCTTTCCTTCCTGAGCTGCCCTAACTGGCCTGTAACCCACTACACCAGTGGCCAGTTCCTTGAGCCGGTGACTGCATCTTCTTCCATTTTCATCCCCCGTAGGATTTCTGAACGAACAAACGAGTACACCACTTGAAGGCTCCTTTTCCTCATCTGAAAAATAGGGTTGTTGTGAGGGTTGAAATACTTCCTTCGCGCTGGGCAAGCTTTCCAGGGATGGCAACCCGAGCCGTAACAATAACAGTGATTCCTTTCTGTGATGGCTGCAGGCTGCCAGAGCCGGTCCTGAGGGAGGAGACGGTGGGTGAGGACCTCCTGACCCCAGCGATGGTGTCCTCTCCCTGTTCCCATGAACTTTCTTGCCCGTCTGAGGATTTGGGGACAGAGTCATGGTCAGTTGGAGAGCTCTTTCTTTGGGGTCATCATCTGTTTCTTAAAAATCAGTATGCATCTAAATGTATCACATATCTTGAAATAATAACAACCTAGTATTATGACAACATCAAATAATTTTCTGACAGCCCCCAGCTAAGAAATGGAATCATTTAACCTCCTTGGTGGGTCTGGCCTCGTTGACTGCGGAATTCCTAGCACATTGGTGGAATGCTGGCTCGTAAATAAAGGCTCAGAATTCCAGTCTGAATTAAGCCGATTTTATTGGAACGATAATAGCTACCATCACGAACTGCCTACTGTGTGCCAGGCGTTGTGATGGGCATCTTACATCACTGTCTCATCTAGACTCTGTACGTTAGGTGTTACAACGCTCAGTTTACTGATAGGAAACTGAATCAGAGGACAGGTGACTTCTTTGAAGTCGTGCAGCCAGTGGGGGCCAGGCTGGGAGTCACCCGCAGGCCCCAGTAATCCTTAACCCTGGCTGCACAGCTTTACCTGGCAAACTTAACGGAATGCCAGGACCTGTGGCCCTCAGGCCCAGTGAGTCATAATTTCTGGATGTGGGGTCCAGACATCCCTTCATTTCAAAGCTCCCAGGCATACATGCAGGGCCGAGAACTGCTGCATTCCATAAACCAACAACATGCTGGATGTAAGATGGCGACGTCTTGTCTTAGCCTTGCATCAAAAGGAGGAGGAGAGAGAATTCTCTCATCACATACGTGTTTTTGTCCCTCAGGCAAATTAATTTTTAAAAGTTCTTGGTGACTTTGATTCCAGGGTGCTGAAGGCTGTGGCTTCTTGTTTGCATGCCTCCTGCGTTTAAGCCAGCGCCTGTGCCCGGCTCCTGTACGCAGTAAATGCCGAGCGAGTGGAAAAAGCCCGTGCATCTAGAAGGAACCTCACTCAGCCTCTGTTGCATTTCATGTTTTATTGATCATTCCTTCTGTCCCAAAGGCTTTGACTAGAGGAGAAAAATCCTACCTTTGGCTCAGCATGAGAATCACGGTGACTTTGGTTAGGCAACGTGACACATGCCACGTGGACCATCCTGAAGACGGAGGCCCGCCCTTGAACCCCCACACGGCCCCCAGCTGCCCCTACGGGGCCCTTCAGCAACTCCGCATCACCTCGGAAGTTTCTCTATTTCGGTGCTTGTCTGACTCCTCAGTGAGAGTGTGCATTTTTGAGCCCTGAGAGGCAGGCTGTCCAGACCCCGTACGGCGTTCCTCAGTGCCCAGGCTGTAGACCTGTAGCCCCGGGCACTCAGAAGTGCCGCTGACGGGTTTCTGGCTTGCGTTTCTCTAACTTGTTTCCTTTGATGAATCAAAACCCTTAGAAGTGGTGTCTCTCCAAGAGTCCTGCCAAGGGGTTGTCTCTCCAAGAGTCCAAGGGGGTGCTGGCTGTGACTGGGGCACACAGAGGGGCGCACGCTAGCTTCATGGGTCCGCTCCCGCCATGTGCCGGGCCCACATGGGCGCTGGGAACACAAAGCCGACAGTCTCTGCTTCCACATGTCTTCTACTTTCATGGAAAGATCATTTGCTCCTTCAAAAACATGGCCTGGGGCTTTCTGCTCCGTTTTTGGTGGCACTGCAATGATTTGGGCATTTGGTCCAGCATCTTCATGGGTCCTTGAGATGACCGCGCACATGTCCTCTCTTCCATTTTACTGGGAACTCCTAAGGGCGTGCGTTTTTATCCATCCCGTGCCCCGGGCTGGCACAGCGCCGGCTTGGGGAGCGCTCGGTGAATGTTTGTTGACTGGTTAAGTGAAGGGATTCGAAGGGTTTCTTGGCTCTCTGGGAGCCTGCCTTTTGCCGGAGGGCTCTACCTCCTTTTGGAGCATGGCTGCAGAGGCAGGACTTAATAAAAAATTAAAAAACACACGGTGGAATTGGCCGAAGAGTGTCGTTCCGTGTGGGTTTCCAGCTCACCCAGGACGCACGAGCGAAGCAACAGCCGAGAGCTCGGATACAGGTGTGTGGTGATTTTTGGTTTATGTTTTGGCTTCTAGAAATGACTTAGCCCCTCTTACCCCACCCGTTTTCTCCCTTAAATTCACATCACACAGAGGCATTCGTAGATACTCTGTGCTTGGAAAGTCCTTTTTTGGGGGTAGAGAAAAAATATTTTTTATTAAAAAAATTTTTTTTTTCAATTACAGCTGACATTTCATATTATTTTATATTACTTTCAGGTGTACAGCGTAGTGGTTAGACGTTTATAGAACTTACAAAGTGATCACCCTGATAAGTCTAAGGCCCACCTGGCACCATCCATGGTTATTACAATATTATTGACTATGTTCCCTGTGCTGGACTTCACATCCCCGTGACTGTTTTGTAACCACCGATTTGTACGTCTCCATCCCTCTGGCTTTCTCAACCCCGCTCCCATCTGGCCACCATCGGCTTGTTCTCTGTATCTATGGGTCTATTTTTGTTTAGGTTGTTCGTTTATTTTGTTCTTTAGATTCCACATATAAGCGAGACCATACAGTATTTATCTTTCTCTGTCTGACTTATTTCACTTAGCATTATACCGTTTAGGCCCATCCATGTTGTCGCAGATGGTAAGATTTCATTCCTTTTTATGGCCGAGTAATACTCCACCGTATGTATGTACCATGTCTTATTTATCCAACTGTCTGCTGTCTACTGATGGACACTTTGGTTGTTTCCGTATCTTGGCTATTGTGAATAGCGCTGCAGTGAACATAGGGGTGCAGATATCTTTTCATATTAGTGTGTTTTCTTCAGGTAAACACCCAGAAGTGGGATTGCTGGGTCATATGGTAGTCGTATTTTTAATTTTTTGAGGAACCTCCGTACTGTTTTCCATGGTGGCTGCACCAATTTACTTTTCCACCAATAGTGCATGAGGGTCCCCTTTTCCCCACATTTTCACCAACATCTGTTGTTTGTTGACTTACTGATGATGGCCATTCTGATGGGAGTGAGGTGGTATCTCATGTGGTTTATATTTGCATTTCTCTGATGATGAGTGACATTGAACATCTTTTCATATGTCTGTTGCTCATCTGTATGTCCTCTTTGGAGAAATGTCTCCTCATGTCCTCTGCCCATTTTTTTAAGTGGGCTGTTTGTTTTTTTTGGTGTTGAGTTGTATGAGTTCTTTATAAATTTTGAATATTAACCCCTTATTGGATGTATCATTGGCAAATGGCTTTTCCCACTCAATAGGTTGTCTTTTCATTTTGTTGATGGTTTCCTTTGCTATGCAAAACATTTTAGTTTAATGTAGTCCCATTTGTTTATTTTTTCTCTTGTTTCCCTTGCCTAAGGAGTAAGCACAGTGTTTACTCACCCCACCGTCTTGCCTGGAATTCTCTGGAAACTACTTCTTGAAATAAACCTTGCTTTTTCTCAAGGATACCCTTGTTGCTTTCAGCCTTGTGGGTTGGGATTACCTGGCTCTGTGTTTTATTGTATTTTTTTTTCTCTCACAGCTCAATGTGGTCAACAGTGTCAGCATTTCAGAGGACATCAAGCCCTTACCAGGGCTTCCTGGGATTGGAAACATGAACTACCTGTCCACCAGCCCGGGGTCTCTGGTTAAACATATCTGTGCCATCTGTGGGGACAGATCCTCAGGTATGTGCAACAGCAAGAGGTCCCTCCCTAGTGCCCCTGGCAACGGGGGTCCCGGAGAAGGCGCAGCTCCACTGTCTACCTGCTACTTGGTTCCCGATGAAAGAAGAGGACCATTTAGGATGGTCCAGCTTGGAGCCCAGGCTGTAAACTCCTGTCACTGGGCTCACAGCCTGCAGTCTTGATGAATTTAAAGTATGACTTCATTTTTGAGGATTAGATTGATAGGAAACACATCAGAAGCTCCGCCCCCCCCACCCCCGCCCTGGAGTTACTGTGTTGAGTATATATCTGGGATAGAGAAGCTGTTGTGATTAGCTAGTATCTCAAGCTAGAGTTTTATACATATATAAATATATGTATTTATATATATAAATAAATGTATTTATAAATATATTTATTATATATATAAATTCTAAAAATAATGTCCCAATGTAGAAAATTTGGAAGAACTAGAAAAGAAAACTGAAAAAAATGATCTATAATGTTCCTAACAAAGGCAAACCCTTTAATATTTTAACATATTTTCTTCTATAACATTCTAGGTTTTTCACGTTTTCATGGGTGGAAATAAATGTGTTTTCACTGATTTCATCTTCTTCGATCCTCTTCCACTTTTGCCCCAGTTATTTCTTTTTTGACGCCTTTCTCTTCTTCCATCATTACTGCCCCCAAGTCCCTACCCCACCTGTTTTGAAGACATCGAATGTTTGATTTGATGAGTGAGCAGGTGGGGAAGGTTCTTTTCTACAGCTGTTCATGATGATGGCTGACTGACCATTTCTTCATCATCTTCTTGTCACCAAAATCACTACAAAATGTCACTCCACTGAAAGTTGCTGGAGCCTGGAACTTATTTGGCCGATGTTTGCTTGCTCTCAAAAAGTTGTTTCCAAGTTATGCAGACTTGGCCATTGCCATAGCAACAGAATGCCAGCTCCACCCTGATGGGAGTTTTCTCGACCATGGTTTAATTGAAAGTCTGGGAGGGCCATTTATATATCGAAGAGCCATGGAGGTGACAAATTGGTCCAATGTTTCTCAAAGACAAATTCTGTAGAGCTGAGAGCATTGGGTTCTTTGAGCCCAAGATAAAATCTTGTATTTATGACTGATGTGAGTTCATAAATTAGTACAGTCAACTGATTAGGCACAGACTGACTTTCCTTAGGCAAGCTGCCTCGGCCACCGTCTCATCTTAGAGGGATATCTTTTGAAATGCAAGGTCCTGGTAGGCAAATATTTACATTTGTTAATTTTCAGGGAATTCAAATTCACTTTAATATCAGCCTAAATACAGCTGCGTTAGAAAGTCACATCAGGTCTGCAGCTAAACGGCTGCACATATTGACTCAAGAATCAGACATAACTATGTTTTGAATTATCTGTTTCCTTATATTTTTGAAGTCCCACAATTCCAACCAATTGGGCATAGCTGCCTGGTGTGTAGTGTTGAGAAGACTTTGGCTTAGAAGGAGTGTTGGGATTGATTGTTGATGCCTGTGGGGGGGGGTGTGGGGGGTGAGCGTGGTGGCTCTTCTGACACTAATTAGCCTTCCCTGCCTGGGGCCATTGGAAACTGAATGTGTGGAACAGGTAATGAGGGCAATGGAACCCATAACAGGTTATTCTGGATCAAACAAAACCACCTTCCGTCAGACCTTTACGTTGTATCTCGAGGTTGCACATCATATTGTGCTATAAAGATCATATACCAATTTATTTCTCCAGCTGGCAATAACATTTAAAAATTCATAATTCAGGAGGCTGTTCGTAATTTAGAGTGAAGGATAACACTTTCAAGGGGGATTCCTAAGTCCTCGGGCCTCATTTATGGGGAAATATTATTGAAACTGAGGTTCTTTGCCTGTTCGATGATACCCAACAAGCATAAATATTTTTATTATGTACACTACTGTCTTGAATGGAGGCAGACCATTTTGTTTAACTAAACACAAGAGTTGCCTTGATAAAATAAGTGTAAATGAAATCAGATCTTAGCTCAGGAGTTTTCTAATGATGCTCTTGGAATTAGCGATTTCCCAGAGTAGGTGCCAGAGGGAAGATACAACGTGAGGCGTGTTTACTGGGCCTGCCTTTGGCTCCTGGGATCTGCCTGCATTCTCTGCTCGTCGTCCTTTGCCTTCTGCCCAGGTGTTTTTCTAGTTTCCCTGCGAAGGGCGGGCGGAGGGGGGGAGGGCAAGGGGTTCTTTTGGATGAAAGAAGGAAACACACAAGAACAACCTAAGGACTGTTTTGTTCTTGCGAGTAGGAAAGCACTACGGTGTGTACAGCTGTGAAGGCTGCAAGGGCTTCTTCAAGAGAACCATAAGGAAAGACCTCATCTACACCTGTCGCGACAACAAGGACTGCCTCATCGACAAGCGCCAGCGCAACCGCTGCCAGTACTGCCGCTACCAGAAGTGCCTGGTCATGGGCATGAAGAGGGAAGGTGAGGCCCCCCACTGCCCTCCCCGCTCAGGGGACAGCAGCTGGCACATACGACATGGTGAGAGACAGACGCGGCACGGGGCAGGAGGTGTTCGAGGGGGAGGCTGGGATGACTCTGGAGATCATGATTTCTCGAGAATTGCAATCGAATGTCCCCTGCCCTAGGAAATGCGTCCCCGGAGCAAAGGAAGCAGGATCCTCTCCTGGAGCTCAGATGATGGGCCCCAAACTGGACCCCAACCTTGGCTCTTCCAATAGCCAGGCAGCAAATTTGAGAGCCCAGGTTTTGGGGTCCTGGTGCCCTTCCTGCACAGGGACCCAGACCAACCTGTGTGGAGCCAACGTCTCCCCTCTCATCCTGGGTCTTCCTCAGGGAGTCCTGCTGCTTTGATTCCACCCTCTGGGCCTTTATAACCTTGGGCGGCTGCCAATCTTCTGAGATTGGCATGTGCCATGGGCTTTGGGGACCATTGGCATTATCAGTAATCAGACTTGGCCGTCTGCTTCGGGGAGACCACCATTGTGCACTTTTAAACTGTTATGTCTTTCTGTTCCAATGTGGGTCAGCTGCATTGGTGCAGAGTGAGAAAAAAATCTGGAAGCGCTTTCTGTTCATTCATGAGATCGAAAAGTCTTACCATGAAATAAGACAAATAAACCGGAATGGGCAGTTAATTAACTGGTGAACTCAGGCAGGTATGTGGTGTCAGTGGTGAATCTTAATAGATTTCAGAGCAAGGAAGCCCTGCCTCTGTAAGGAAATAGGAACAGGCATTTCGTCAGTCCTGGTGGGTCCTCATTCTTCAAGAACTTCCTTTCTGTGGGGAGAGGAGGCTGACCAGAAGGACCAACGAAGGAAAAGTTTCTTTGAGCCCCTGCTAAGAGAGAACACTACTAAGAAAGAACAAAGTGACATTCCTGCAATCTCAGCATGTCTGAGATGGACGGGTCCCTTCAGAATAATCGAATCAACCCTAGCTATTCGACAGCTGGGGACACAGGCTTGGAGAGGTGGACGGGGTTTTCCAAGGTCCCAAAGGCAAGTGATGAGCAGGTCTTGTTTCCCCAGATCAAGCCCATCTCGAGGCTCCTCTCCGGCCAGGCTGAAGGAGCTCTGGGACCAGGGCCACCCTCACTGATACCCGGCAGGAATCTCAAATCCACAGACACAAACCTGCACTCCTGCTAGTCTGTCCTCCCCATTTCAGGGAACGGCCATTTTTCAGTTGCTCGGACCCAAAACTATTGTGCTCCTCTCTTTTTTTGATGCACCACACGCAATGGGTGAGGAAATCTGTCTCCCTCAAAATGTGTCTAGACTCTTCCCACACCTCACCACTTGGACCGCTTTTGCCATAATCCACACCGCCATTATCGTTTGTGATAAAGGCAGGCTCGTGAGCTGTCTCGCCGCTTCCATCTTTGCCTTCCCTCATCTCTTTTCAGCACCAATCTGAGGGAGGCTTTGCATAAGCGGGTCAGGTCCTTCTCTCTCCGCCCAGACCCTCTGCTGCTTCCCCTTCAGTGATCTTACAGACTGGAGCATGTGACGTGAAAAGCCAGCTGGTGGAGACTGTCTTCACCTCACAGGGTAGAACGATACTCTTTGTACCATGACAGTCCACCATCGAATTAATGACCCCAAAGAACATCTGCCATCAGCAAGGAGCCTGTGGGTGTGCAGGGCCACTTCTTCCTCCCAGGACAGATGAGAGAAGTTTCAGGTTGAGTTGGAAAAAGCACGTGAGCTTGAATTATAGGAAGGTGGAAGGCTTCCCTCAGAGAAGTGATCATTTCTGCTGCTTCGCAATTTAATGATATTTCTCAAAACTCAATCTGAACTCGGGTGATCTCACTGACATGGGGAATCTAACATCCCTCTCCCTGCAAAAACACCAAGCTCGTAGATACAGAGAATAGGTTGATGATTGCCAGAGGCAGGAGGTGGGGGTGGGCAAAATAGGTGAAGGGGCTCAAAAGGGACAAACTTCCAGTTATAAAATAAATAACTCACAGGGAAGTAATGTGCAGTGTGGTGACTACTGGTAATGATACCATTATTACATTTTTGAAAGTTGCTAAGACAGTAGATCTTAAAGTTTTTATCACAAGAAAATAAGTGTGTAACCATGTATGGTGATGGATGTTAACTAGACCTATTGTGTTGATCATTTTGCAATGTATACAAATATCGCACCATTATGCTATACTCCTGAAACTAACATAATGTAATATGTCGGTTATACCTCAGTAAAAAACAACCACACAAGAAACTCACCCTGAATATTGCTCAGCTCAGTTAGGGTCAGAATGGCCCACAGGTCAAATGGTGTAAAGTGTGGTTCTTTCATTAAAGAAAGAGAGAAAGAGAGAAAGAAAAGAAAGAAAGAGAAAAAGTCAAACAGAGACATATGAATTTTAAGAGCTGGGGATTATTGTGATTCTTTAATAGAAAATTGGGTCCAATTTTGGCCCCTGCGTTCTTAAAAAGAATATGGGGACCAAGAGTGATGAAAAGCTGAGGAGGAAAAGATAGGAGGGGAAAGGGGCTCTTGGAGAATTTCTGAAGGAATTGGTACTATTTACCCTGACAAAGAAGGCAGAGGAGTAAGTGAATTCCTCATTTGTGAAGGGCCACCTTCAAAAGTTTTTGGGACAGCCTTCACCGCTGCCATCCCTGGCTTTGACCTACAGAATCTGGAGCTCAGTTTGGACACCTTCTTGAAGGCAAGAATCATAAAATCCTGCAACAGATAACGGAGAGAGACAGTGGAATTTACACTCCTAGAGTTGGACAGGTTGAAAGAGATGAAACTGGGGTGGCCTCAGAATTCACGGGCCAGGGGCCAGGGGCCTGTTGCTTTCTTAGGGCACATGAGGGTGCAGCCGGAATGGACATTCGCTGTTTTCCAGTGTAACACTTTCATTTCCTGAGGGAAGGAACAGAGGCTCTGAGAGGTGACGGGCCTGCCCCAGCGGACGGCGGAGCCCTTCTGTCTCCTGTTTCCCTCTGTGTTCTCTCCCTTCTACCTCTTCTTTTTCTCGCTCCCCTGCTTTCTCCTCTTTGCCCTCCTTCCTTCACTCCTCCCTGCCTTCGCTCTGTCCTGACCACTGAATGATGTTCTCAGCCCGAGGCTTGCTGGGTCTCTGGCTGGGATGGAGTGGGAGCTGTCACACCCTCCCCTGACCTACCTTATGAGACCACTGACCTCGCTTGCGTGACAAACTAGAGGTCCAGTCCCCAGTTGCAGCTCAGTCTGCAGCCTGTGTGGCTTGTTAGCCCCTCAGAGCGGAGGGGCTTCGGGGAGTGGAAGATCGGGAGGGAGAAGAGAGGCTGAGAGGTAGAAGTTGCTCGTGGAGTAGCTGTCACTGAGGTCCAGGTGACCCACCTGCTTAGACTGTAATGTTCTTGACCCTTGGGATTAAAACAAAAATGTGTCCTAATACTGAATTCTGCTATTGCTCTGGGAGTAAGAAGATGGAAGCTGTAGCTTTGTAGATGACAGGGACTAACCCGACAGGGGCTGTGCTCTCCATGAAAAGGACAGAACTGGGGTGAGGGTCTGCCCGACGTCCTAACGTACAGACACAGAGGGTTCTGAGGGCTGGAATAAACTTGGGTGACATGATAGCCTCAGGGGCTGAGATAACTGCAGCCTACACCTTCGCCTGTATATGCTTCCCCGTCCCCACAGCAGCCGCGGGTTCTGAAATGCCATCTAGGTGACTTTCCTCCACCCCTTCGCTTACCAAATACCCACATGGCTGCTGAAGAGCATCCCTGACGAGGCGGGTCAGGTGATGTGTGTTCAGGCTGGTGCCCTCGGGCAGAGCTAATGGAATGCGAATGCCAAGGATGACGCATGGGGTCTGGCAGAGGCAGTTTTTGATGTGAGGTGCCTGCCACTTAGCTGTCGCATGCTCGCAGTTCACTAGAGGTAGGGGATGGAGGGTGGATATGGGAGACCCCAGGAGAGGGCGGCTCATGAAGAGAGCGGGCAGAATGGGAGGTTGTGAAAGCCTCGCATGCAAACTTCTTAGAGTCATTACCAGAGTGAACCAGAAAGAATACGGCCTCAAGACCCCTTGTCCTTCCCAGGCAGAAGCAGGGAGCTTCGCTGCCCCTGTTTCACCTGTCAGCACTGTGACACCCCTGATTCCGTGCCATGACAATGCCCCTTTTCCACATGAGGACCTGAGGCTTAGGCAGCACGCTGACTCTCCCGCAGTTGTCCTGGGCATGTGGTAACGTCTGTGAGTCCTTCTGTGTACCAGCTGTGCAAGAGGAGAGGCAGAGGAGCCGGGAGCGGGCTGAGAGCGAGGCGGAGAGTGCCGGCGGCGGCCACGAAGACATGCCCGTGGAGAGGATTCTAGAAGCTGAGCTTGCGGTGGAACCAAAGACGGAGTCCTATGGCGACATGAACATGGAGAGCTCGGTACGTGGCCTTAGGCCTCTGTCTACCTCCTGCTCCTTGGTTGGGGCTGCGGATGGAGAAGGGGTGCGAGGGTCCCAGAATCTGCCCCCCACTGTGCTTTGTTCCTTTTTTATTTTTATTGATTTATTGTATTTATTTTAATTATTTTTTCTTACTGGGGGAACAGTCTTATTGGTTGCACATTGCTTTCATGCTACAATGGCCTAGTTGACCCTTTTAGGAAGAGCACAGCTCACAGTGGCCCATGCGGGGATGGAACCGGTAACCTTGGTGTCATCAGCACCACTCTCTAACCAACTGAGCTAACCTGTCACCCCCTATTTTGTTCCTTTTTTAGACGAATGACCCTGTCACCAACATATGCCATGCTGCTGACAAGCAGCTCTTCACTCTTGTTGAGTGGGCCAAACGCATCCCCCACTTCTCTGACCTCACCTTGGAGGACCAGGTCATTCTGCTCCGGGCAGGTAAAGGGGTTTGTTTCCTCTTGGGGCAAGTGCTGGG